TGGTGCTAAGAATGACAAGACTCACTTACGATGCCGGCGAAACGTCTGAGAATGTACCACGTCCACGGTCCAACTTTGGAAATGATCATGAAAACAATGGACTCCGGACTAGTTGTGTTCCTCTTAGTCTTCCTATCAATATAACCAAGTTGCGAAACAAGGTCAAACAGCTTCTTCCTTTCTTTAGCCCACATATTATAGAAATTCTAATAACTTTTGTAGCAATCTTTGTATTCATATTTCCTATTCTCCGTCTAATATATACCTACTCAATACAAACCTTTCGACCGTCTCTCGAATTGACAGTTCTTACATTTTCGCTTCAGGTGTGGAAAATGTAGGCGCTACATGAAGCTAATAGAATCCCGTCCCCAACGCTTACACTGTCCCCAGTGCAATCAAACTTATTCCCTTCCTCAAAACGGTAGCATTCGTCAGCACAAGCAAGACAAATGCCCACTCGATGAATTTGAATTGCTTGTTTGGACCCAGGGAAGCAAGAGCAAAGTAAGCTGTCATATTTTTGACCCATGCAGTACTTAGTTTCTTTATCACATCTAAATTGTGATCTGTATATAAATTAATTTTTATTACCTATTTATCGGCTTTAATTTATGAAATTATTGATATTGTGAACTATGACTAAAACATACCATAGACTGGTTTACTCATATAGTAGCATCTGGATCTTCTTCTCTGTGTTGTTTCCACTATACTTTTTATCTTATCAATAATGACTCATCTCTTAATTAAAATAATTTTTGTATAAGAGATGTATTCACCCTACGTCGCATAAGCTGATTAAGGGCTACTAGTTGAATCTTCCCGCAGAGATATAAATAGGCCTCTGTGCCGTTGAATTTTTATTATGCCTTGCGTACCAGTGGGTATGAATTATAATACCTTCTTGGAGGCAATGCTAAATGAACCTAAATTTCATCACCTCATGAGTGGATACGGCTTTTATTTGAGATCTGATAGTCTTCAAACCTAGTTAATTCAAATAGAAATAATGTTATGTTGAAAGTACACGATGTGGATACGAAGAGTAATTGTGTTTCTGCCCTGGGCAGAAGGCGAGATACCACAATTGTTTAGCACACGTTTGGTCAAAGGATGGGCTTCACTTGTCTCTTTGACTAATTGTAATATGGTGCTGACGTTGCCGACTACGATGCCGGCGAAACGTCTTGGAATGTACCACGTCCACGGTTCTACTA